GGCAGGGAGAAACTGCCAGGTAGTTGCTGAAGGAATAACATGCTGGAGCCTTCTCTGTAAGATAAGGCCATGTAGAAATACATAGATTAGTATTTATGGGTTAATAATTAAGAGAGAGCTAGCCAGTAATTGGCCAAACAATTCAATAATTAATATGCCTCTGTGTATTTATTTGGGGCTGATGAGCAGTGGGACAAGGTAGAATAGAATCTTTCGTCTACAAGAAACCACTGCAATTACAATTTTCATGAGCAGAATGGAAATGCCTATTATTTTATCTTCTTGAACCTTTCTGAGGACTTCACGATAGTAGCCTGTATAGCTTCTCTAGGGTATGAAACATCCTTCAATTCGGTATTGAATAAATAAAATGCAATTGACAGTAACAATATCTCAGACGATATCTGAAATGTTGTTGCCATGAAATCTGACTCCTACATTTCAGTCAAACACAAAGAGCACAAATGAATGTGATTCACCATCTGCCTGCAAAGAGCTGGCAGGAAAGAAGACAAGAGACCCTCCACATACGCCATGATGGGATGATAAAAAGGTCATACGGAGATAGGAACAGACGACATCTGAGAAATTTTTAAGGAAGAGTTACATCAATGGGCTGTGGAAGGTCAGGACAGAGGAAATGGCACTAGAGGATCCATAACAGTCCCTCTTTGGTGGGGACAGACACATGTAGAAGAGGGCAAGGATACATACTGAACTATTGAACAGTCAGTTAACTCTCAGTGGACAGAAATAACAGCATAAAACAGAAAGTGAAAAACAGATCTGCAGTATTTCAGAGTCACCAGTGGCCTGCATAAATGTGCTAAAACATAATGTATGAACTCCTTCTCCATAAATGAGAGGAGAGGCAGGAGGAGGCACTCCTAGGATGGTGGATTAGGGGCTTCCAAATTTCTGCTCTTCATGGAAGTACAGGAACACTGACAAAATGGTCAAGATCCGCTTTCTCGGAACTCTGAAAATTCACTAAAGGCTTACAAAAATCCAAGGAATGTTTATTCAAGAAAGAAGCCAACTCTCACAAGCAATGAGCTCCATAGCACTGTACCTTGCCTCACTCTCTACCCCCAGCTCTGAAGAAACCTTGAAAACCAACAGCCTCATAAACATCTTATGAACACCAATAGCCACTGACCAGGGCAGACCAGAACTGCAACTCAAACAAAACAGTGCCCTCAAAGAGCTGTCGCTACTTACCTTATCTAAGCTCCATTCTTAGGACTTACCTTGATTTGAATAGAATCAGAGCTCCCTTCATATGAATGGCCATATCCCCAAAGCATTTGTTTAAAAATAATCAGAGACAACTACTTAATGCCACAGCTTCAGGCAGTGGCAATCACAAATACAGCAATCAAGACTAGAGATTTAGGGAATGAGACATTCATAGAGCTTAGAAAAGCCCCCCAAATGCCATGAGAATGACTCTCAGCACTGCTTGGCCTGATGTTCTTAGTCCACAGGAAGTGCACAGTGGTAAACTGCTGATACACAAAAGGAGTATACACACACACACACACACACACACACACACACACACACAAGCACTCCCAGGATGGTGGAATTGGGACTTCCAAAGTCTGATCTTCATGGAAGTACAGGAACACTGACAAAATGGTTACAATCAACTTTCTCAGAACTCTGGAAATTTACCAAAGGCTTACAAATAAATATCCAGGGGCTGCTTATTCGAGAAAGAAGGCTGACGCTCGGCAAGCAGATACAGTACTGGGTCTCTCCTTTCCCCTTCAAAACCTGTTTCTTTTCTAGCATTTGCTAACAGGGTGAATAGAAACACCATTTGGACAGTTACCAAAGCCAGAAATGGAGAAGTGCTCTTAGGGCTTATGATGTAGTTCAGATCAGTGGCGGTGTGCTTGCTTAGCACACAGAAGACCCTGAATTTGATACCCAAGTCTCCAAAAATCTCTGTCCTCAAATCCTAGCCGCGCCAGCTTCACTGGCCTCGCCATCTGCACCTGGAGTCCTTGGTGACCTCACGAAGCCAGTCTTGTCTCTGTCTAACTGATCTTCCACAACATTACCAGCATCAGAAGACTCTTTCAAAAGGGATTCTCCAAGCTGGAGAGAAAGCTCAGCGCTTGCTGTGCTTGCAGAAGACCCAAGTTTGACCACCAGCACATAAAGTGGCTCACAGACACCTGTAACTCCAGCTCCAGGGGATCTGATGACCTCTTCTGGCCTTAACAGGCATTACACACACGTACAAACCTACACACTCACATACAGAAACACACACACACACACACAATTAAAAATAAATCTTTTTTTTAAAAAAATCTATTCGCAATGCCCATTCATGTGACCTGCCAAGTAGAAGATGTAGAGGTGGAAGCCCAACTTGATTTCAAAGCCCTACCCTTAGGGCTGAGAAAGGGAAAGGATACATAAACAAGCAAATACAATAATCACAGGTACTTTTGACAGTAAACATTAAGCATAAGACAGCCCAGTGTAGTTGCTGATGCCTGTAATCTTAGCACTCAGACCCTGAGGCAGAAGGATTGTAGCTAATTCTGGGCCAGCCTGAATTAAGAGTGAGATCCTATCTCAAAAAAAAAGGGGGGGTGACAGCTAGAGAAATGAGTCAGTGGGGCAGAGTGCTTGCACACAAGCATGAGGTCCTTAGTTTGGATCCCCAGAACCCATATAAAGTCAGACACAGTAGTTTGTGCCTGTAATCTCAATGCTCCTACAGCAGGGTAGAAGTAAGACAAAAGGATCTCTGGAAGCTTGCCAGCCAGCTAGCCTGATATGGTGGAGAAATAGAAAAGACCTTGCCTTTAGGCAAAACAAGGTAGAAGGTGATGACCAAACACATGTGCACCCATCACACAAATACCCATAAAGCTAAAATAAACTGAGAGCTTTTCTATAAGTGCAACAAGATATGACCCAGCCCCTTCCCGTTCCCTTTATCACACTTGGAACCCCCCAATTCATCCTTCTGTCTCCCATACCAGTCTTCAGGTAAAGGGTCAAAAATCCTTTTGGAGGCTGAAGAGATGGTTCCACTGTTTAGAGTATTTGCTGCACAGTCACAAGGACCAGAGATGCCCTCTTCTGGCCTCTGTGCATACACATACACAGGCACATGTACCCCTAACACATACACAGGTGCATACACTCATACATACAGACACATAGGCACATATAAATCTTTTTAAAAATTCACTTTGGGAGAGCTGGGGAGATGGCTCAGTGGTTAAGAACACTTGCTGCTCTTCTAGACAACTCAGGTTCAATTCCCAGCAACCACACAGCAGATCACATCCATCTTTGAGCACAATCAATGCCTGAGTCAACATTCTGTCAGTGGAGAGAAAAAGACCTGAGGTCACAATAGGATTCATGACAGCAAGGAGAAAGGAAATGATTCTGATATGTATTTTCAAAGATTCACTTTATTTTTAATTTTGTGCATATATGTGTGCATGTGTGTGGGTTCATGCATGTCAGTGCAGGTGTCCCGAAGTCCAGAAGAGGGCTTCATAACCAATGAGCAGGTGTGAACTGCCCAATATGGGTTCTGGGAACTGAACTTAGGTCCTTTTCAAGCATAGTACAAACTCTTAACATCTGAGCCATCTCATCTACTACTCCCTGGTTCTAAAGTTTCTATATGTATGCTTAGAGGCCATGGGTAGACAGAGAGAGAAGAGAGAGGAAGGGAGGAAGAACCAGCCACATTTGTAATGCCCAAGTTAGCAGCAGAGATGAAAACTGAGGCCTGACATTCACCAGAAATGGGGACCAAATAAATATCTCTAAAAACCACAAACATTCTGAACATGGTGGCACATGCCTTTAACCCCAGTACTTGGAAGGCAGAGCCAGGTGGATTCTCCTGAGGGATGAGGACCCCTCGTCCTGAGATAAAAGGACAGATCAGAATCAAATAAGCACAGACAACAGGCAAAAATGGCAAACCCTTGAGATCCAGGCCTAGCACCCACCAGTTTCTTCTGTTAAGCAGGGGAGAGGGGGGGAGAGAGGGAGGGAGGGAGGAAGGGAGGGAGGGGAGGGGAGAGAAAGGGAGAGAGGGAGGGAGGGAAAGGAGGGAGAAGTCAAAGGATCTCCAAGTAGTCACTCTAAGCAAAGCTGGGACTACCTCCATGTGCTAGACCTACTGTGTGAGTGACCATCAGTGAGCACTTTACACATTATGGGTACGGCTAACTCAAGAATAAATTAGGATACTTATCTTTAGAACTATTTTACATCGTTTATTTATTAGGGTATGGGTGGATCCTGTGGAGGTCAGAGGACAACTTGAAGAAGCCAAGTCTCTCCTTCTACCATGTTTCGGGCCCTGAGGATCTAACTCGGGTAGTCAGGTTTGGCAGCAAGAGCCTTAACTCCCTGAGCCATCTGCTTGTCCCTTGCAGAGGATGGGAGTTCAATTCCCAGTACCCACATGGAGTCTCACAACCATTGGTAACTCCAACTCCCAGGTACCCAACGCCCTCTTCTGGCCTCCTGAGGCACTAGGCACACACATGATGCACATACATTCCTGCAGACAAGACATGTATGCATATATAAATCAAAACAAGGAAAAAGGAACTAGCATCAGGATCGCAGGGAATGTCTGAAGGGTCAAGAGTCGAGAGGAAGAAAAGGCAAGAGACAGAGGTTGTCTAAAGTCAGAAGAGTTGAGCAGAGGAAAGAAACAAAGTGTCTCTGAATTAAAAGGTACAAACTACCCCATGAAGGGGAATCAGCAACTGACATGGAAAGGGGGACTCGCGGTGGCTCATGCTTGCCACCCAGGACCTAGAAGGCGGAGGCACGGCCTGATCTACATAATGAGCTTGAGGCCAGCCTGGGCTAGATGACGATTCCCAGGTCATACTGAGCTACGAAATTTGAAGCCAGCCTACGCTACACAATGAGTTCAAAGACAAGGTGGGCTGCGCAATGAATCTAGGGCGAAGCCAAGAAGGGGTACTCACTGAGTTCAAGGCCAGCCTGGGCTACAAAATGAGATGTCTCATAAAAAGAAGTGTGGGGGGGGGCGGTCCTCAAAAAACGGGATGACGGTCTCCATCAGGCTGAGGATGCCGGGTGAGTGTGCACAGGTGAGGAGGGGGACGGTGAGTGGAGAATCGGAAAGCCTGCTGGGCAGACGCAGCAAGCAGCGCCCGGGACTGCTGGGCGACAGGAGCGGG